GATAGATAACATGAGAGATTTCTTTGGCCCAAATCGATAAAAGCGTTTTGAATCAGTATCTTCATGTTTGAGCGAATCAGGCTTAAAAAATACAAATTAGCGATCTGTAGAAAACGATTCCAGATTGTACGCGCTTGGAGATGATTTGATCTCACATTTTCTAATGCTAATTCGTGGTATTCACGGACAAAATTCTCACTTACAGGGATGGCGCACTCGACATTTATCGATTTACGTTTAAATGGTAATTGCCTACTTCAAAGTTTCTTAAGGGTATACAACATATTAAACCGTTTACAAAAGGTTTTAGTTAGATTCCGACCATATTCGTTTAACAATATTGCATTACAGAGCCATTTTCCCCCCTGGTGGTGAGGTTTCGAAATTCCTTTTTTCGCGGAAAATAAAATCCATGACCTCCTTACATGATTTCCAAAGTGATAACATTCGATCCAGCAGTTTTCCTTTTACGACCGTTCAATGTGGAACTTTAATAATAACCACTCTGTATATTATAAATTAATTGAAGCTATGCGTTATGTGTATACCATGCGTAAAATTTTCGCCTTTTATGGAAAAAAAAATCGAAGCAAATTATACTTAGTATAATGGACCAAACTGAAAAACATTCCCCCTCCGAAAATAAAATATTGAAATTTCGAACTGAATTTATTGGGTTATCGAAATATTAATTTGACTTATCTTCTAAGTCCTAGTTCCGACAACAATTCCGTCAAAATTCCGAATAATAAGCTAAGTAAGAGATTTAGTATATTCACGTATGTTAATAAAGTAATCAATGTATAAAAAATAGATTATAGAATTTACGCTGATATAAAACTTTTGTCTGACTGCCACAACATGTTATGGAAGAGAAGGTTTGTAGAGATCTGGTTTTGACCTGCTTAAAAGTAATGTCATATTTTGTTTTCAATGTCAAAAAACTTTCTTTGAGAGGCAACTTAGTTTTGGGAAAGAAAAAAAAATCACAAAGAAATTTGAAGAACATGCAGGACGATGGAGTACACATACTTATTTCGGAACACAAGGGTTTCTCGACTGGTTATTGAAAATGAAAAGATGCATTGTCATGCAATTCAAAACATTGGAATACGTTTTCTGGCTGAAAGTAGATTAAAAGTCATCTGCCTTAATTCACATCCATTTACAAGTAAACTACTCGGGCAATTGCAGAATCGTTTTGATCCTGAGGTTGTAAGACAAACCTAATATCACTGGATTTAAACACTTCTTTAATCTTCCAGAACGTTCCTTCTTTAGCTCAATTCAAGAAATTAAGTGAATACAATTTGCCAAAGAAATTGAATATTCATTTGCACTACGGCTTGGTAGTTTACTAACGAGTTAAAAAAACTTAAATTCTGCTTTTGTGGTAAGAATACCAAAATATTACAAATTAAAATATCAGTTACATTTGAAAAAAAAAAAAAAAAAAAAAAAAAAAAAAAAAAAAAAAAAGTTAAATACTAATTTTTGCTCAGGTAACCCAGGTGCATTGGTTGTAGTTTTTAGGTTCTCTTTACAAGATTCTCTATGAAAGCATCTTAAAGTCCCATTCTTTCTATGTTCAATAACCACTAACTAGTTAAGCGCGATTTCCAATTGAGTACGTAAAATCCGAATATCATTAAAAATATGTAGCTAGCCAATGGCATAGTAAATGAAAGATACGGCGCCAATAATTGAAATGTTGTTGTACGGTTACGCTGTTTCTCTTCTTCTAGATGGTCATTCCTTAATTAATAGCCCAAAACGGCCGGCGGTAAAGACGTGAAAATGGTAGTTCAGTCGGGTTCGATCCCGCGACGGGGGAGATGGGCCGTTTGTGGTTTTCCCATGTGTAAAGTGTATACGAGCAGTTTACCTTAGAAAGTCCTCCACGAGGCATCCCTCCCTTTAGGCGGATAGCCCTCGTGTGCTTTGCCATAATTAATTAATCCAATCCAATCCAATTAAATATAATTGATTTGTAAATTCACTAGAACTGACGGAAGAATTGAAGTGGAATAAGTATATGGTTTGCAATCTTGATTAATAAAATTAAAAATATTTGTATAGAAAAATGTTTGCATTGAGACAAAGTTTTTTGAAATATTGCAATTACTTTATAAGAAGGATTTATTAAAACGTAATAATACTTATTATATACTGATGATTAGGATTAAGTTCTTGACAATTACATTCTAAATTAGAATTTTAAGGATATAATGAAAATACGATACGCACAAAAATACATTTTAGGAAAAAAAAGTTGATTTTTTATGTTTTAAAACTTCTAATTTTTAGTAAACATCGTGTCCTCGTTGTTTATTGAATCCAGAATTTGTGTCGTTATATAATATTCTACTTGTCCACAGAATCTGCTATTATCCAGCCATTAAGTAGCTGCAGGTCATTTACCATAACCATGAACTTCCATTAATTCATCTCTAGAGGGTTGTATGTTTATATCATAATTGATTTTTATAAAAAAATGATATTTAAAAATATGTTTCTATAAAAAATATTGTGCTTTAAAAATATGGATGATAGTATCAACGCTCTTTCAGCCACTTCAAAAGCAACAGTTGTTTAGAAATAAATTATGCAGTTAATGTCATAAATTAAATAACTATCACGAAAATTCTCAGTTAGACAATTCGATTTAAGAAGTAAAGTGGGCAGACGATAAAAACGCCGAAGGTAAAATTACTCTTCAAAACTTACTCTTAAAGTAAAAAAAAAAAAAAAAGATACGAGAGAAATTAAAAAAAAAAAGTTAAAAATTTGAAAATATCATCTATAATTAAAAATAGCCTTTTATATAGTATAATAAATATTTATCGCATCATGAGGGAAAAAATGTCATATAATTAATTCTTGTAAATTTTACTGAAGTTAAGGTTAAAAATAGCGGTGCAATCAGTGTAAACAAAAAAATCATGACACATGGCGTTATACGCCAAAAAAGGGTAGCCAAATTTCAAAAACGCGAAATTAAATTCGGGTAATCTTAGAACTTTTGAATAAAAAAAGTTATTTTTGCTATAAAAACACCGACTTAGAGATGGTCAATTTTGGTTACATTCCAAAATGTTTTTCGAAATTATTTATTTAAGATAGAATTTAAAAAAAAAAACACAAAAAATGGGTAAATTGTCTTTGAATGAACCAATTGAAGGTGAGAGAAAAATCAAAACGTTGAATAAAAAAAGAGATATTAATAAATATTCCTTCAATTAACATGAGGAGCTAAAATTTTGGCGCTAATATTTTAAAAAATTGTACGATTTTTACAAACTTGTATCTGGCATAATTTGAGTCGTAGAATCGAAATATGTAAAAAACATTGTATTTATTCGAAAGTCGATTGTGTCAAAATACTACGGTTAGAATAGTGCTTATAAAATCTATAATATCTTAGTCGCGCTTTCGAGACATGAAAAACGCAGTTTGAATTTTGTCAATCGGCCCAATAGAACGGTTTCAGCCGCATTCTGCAATAAAACATTTTTATCTAATAAAAATTTAGCTGCATCTTATTCTTGTATATTTTGAATAAATAAAATTCGATTTCCGATTGCTATTCATTTTTTAAAAGAGACTTCATGTTTTTCGAGGGGCTCTGTCACGAGTTCCTAATTACCGGATCCTAAATTATTGTATCTACTATATCATAACATAAGTAAAGCATTTTTGATGAAGAAGAGAATTCTCTGTCAAAGTCTTCCAAAATGCAAATAGTTTTTCTTTTTCCCTCCAAACGTAATGGCCACTGTGTGTTTGAATTTCATCTAATATTAAAGTTAGCGTGATACTCTTGTACACGTTAGAAAGCCTGCAAGAGAAAAAAGAACTCAAACACATGTTTGGGTTTTAAATGTTTAGCTATGTATCATTCTAATTTAAAGATATAATTTAGAGAAAAAATAATTTTAGAATGACAATGAATTTTAAGAGAAACTCCATAGATTTCCATGAAAGCTGACTCGTGTTCTTTTTTCATTAATGAAAAAGGAGAATATTTTTTCTCCCTGAAGAAATGTCGCCTTTGTATATAGTTTTATAAAAAAACTGATGTCAATCCAAAACTGAATTTTGTGTGATTTAAATTTTAAATATTTGTGCAGAAAACTAGAAGTAACATTTTAGATTCATGATAATATGTAAAGCATATAATATTTGAGATCTTGAATTGTTTTACCTGATGTGTAAAATGAAAAATGATTTACAAATAAAAATTATAAGGCTGGTATGAAAAATGTAAAAATGCTCATGCAAGAAAAACAGTACTTTTTTTTATCTTAATTGTTCATTTAGTGAAGAACATAAGTTTCACTTTATTTAAAGCTCAATTTGATGTAATTTATAATTTTTAAGTTTAAGAAAGTTAAGAACCACGACCTAAGTTAAAATGTTTAAGATGTATAAGGCACTGTTGATGAAGGTTTGCTAGAAACACCAACTTTATCAAAGCCTTATTGCCTAATGTCACAATCAAAATTACATTCCCACTGAGTCACAACTTCAACAGTAATTTTAATTTTTATATGTTGTAAAACTAACTACTTTTATGCACTTCTACATCTACAGCACAAGTACTTACAAGTTATATACTTAATAATCATAAACTTGTATATACTTAATATTCATAAACTTGTCTTTCTTTTTTAAACCATTAGGCACAAAAAGAAGTTAACCAGAAGTTGGATTTCCTCTCTGTTTTTGTTTAATAAGTGACTCTATTTGTAAGATTCATATATAAGTGAGAATGGTAGTATAGAAAAACAGAAAAAATTGCATTAAAATGATCATAAATGTTTCTGAATTAAAAAAAAATAACGTAACTTTGTTTCCTATGAACTGTTAGGCAAATTTTGCATTTGATAACTACAAATATAAAAACAGTTTTAGTTGTTTCAGATTCTTACAAATACCTAATGAGATAAAGAATATCCAGAAATCTATTTATATAATAATATTCTATAATGCATCACTAGGAGGGCGATGTTCATTGCACTAAGAAGCCATGTGAACCACCAAATTGTATCAATGTGATAGATGACCCTGAATCATGCTGTCCATATTGTGCTAACAACTGCATATACAATGGAAATAAATATGACATTGGCACAGTTTTTCCTCATTCGGTGGATGTTTGTCAAGAGTGCACATGCCTGGTAATTTTGCTTTTCTTTAAAGGAAATTTTTTGCTTTAAATTAAATTTTTGAAGACTGGATTGTTTATGACGAATCTTCAATTTAATGTCTGTTTACAAACAAACTGGCAAGTAGCTAGAAAATTTTTAATCATCAAAAAATTATTACTATGTATTCATGCTTTTAAATTATATGTTTAGTTTTAATGTTATTTTAATTTTCTGTTGTTTTATAAAACATGGAATTAAATAAATAAAATATCTCAGAAACAAGAAATTTATTTTCGGAAAATATAAATGTTAAGTGCTTTTAAGGTAAATCTTGTGTTTATTAAATATATTTACTCAGCACTTAAAATAAATTTTAGTAAAACGCTTTTAAATATAAAACCTTAAAGTAAGGAAAGAGAGTTAGATATTCAGCATATAAGAGTCTTAGCGCGTAGCTAGGGTTTTCAGCTCCCGGGGCCCACCAGCGGCCGAGCGGTAAAGTCGCTAAACACTGGTTGTTCGGTCCGAGGTTCGAATCCCGCGAACGGATGGCGCATGGCGTGTTCGTGGTTTTCCCATGTAGAACCTGTATACGAGCCAGTTTTCCTTAGAAAGTCCTTCACGAAGGCATCCCTCTCCTTAGGCAGATAGCCCTAGTGTGCTTTGCCATAATTAAATAAACTAAACCAAACCAAACCAGCGCCCCGGGAACAGCTAAAGACTTCGCGCACCCTCCTGTTTGCCAAAAATAGAAAACATGTCCTAAAATTTCGTAAAATCGATTTGGCCCTCCTTGGATGCTGTGCCCGGGAACAGATGTTCCCCTTGCCCGCCCCCCCCCGAGTTACACCACTGCATAGAAAGTTCACTTTATAAGCTTATAAGCTTCCAACCTTATTAAAATTATTATAATGCATTCGAGAACTCAGTTTATTTTCCAGTAAGTAGAAATATTACTATGATGCTTCTTTATAGAAGCAGTATACAGGTTATTTTAAATAAGGCGTAAAATCTTAGTTCGCTTTATTATTCATTTCAGACTACACTGACTACCAATAAGTATTTGGACACCTGTGATAGAGAAGAAAAACTAACTTTATTCAAAATCAACAGTTGGTAGAGCCTCCACACGAGGTATACCGCGTGACCCTCCGGGGCATACTTTCCACAAGTCTGTGTAGAAGCTAGTGGTATTTTCTTCCACTCGGCTTGGAGGGACATAGAAGTTCCTTCACCGATTTGACGGGTAGTGCACCCCTGAATCGGCGATGCAAATCGTCCCAGAGGTTCTCGATAGGTTCAGGTTGGACTCTGGGCAGGCCAGTCCATTTATGAACTCCATTGGCACATACAACCTTGGTTAACGTCGAAAAACATGGACAACTGGCATTGTCGTCCTGAAAGTAAAGGTCCCAACCCGTAAAACTCCAAACGTAGGAAGACATGTCATCCAAGATAGTGCGAGGATCGGGTTGAGCTTACATGGGGACCAAGGGCCAGGAGAAAACCCCCAGACCATAATTCCACCTCCGCCGAACTGTGTTGGCCCAATGATTTGGCGGAGACGTTCTCCAGGTAGACGCCAGCCCAGACCTGCCATCCGAACGGTAACGGGTGAACCTTGATTCGTCACTCCAAAAACCCGTTTCCACTGATACGGTCCAATTTCGAGTGCTTTGCACCACATTACCAGCAGCGAGGTTGGACTTGTGATCAAAGGCTTATGGGCAGCAGCACACCATGAAAACCAAGCAGATGTTTTCTTAGGGATGTTCATTGAAACAATACCCGGTTGCCTGTGAAATCTCGCGGATGAGGGCATGGTTGGGTGGGTTCTTCCGAATTTCTCTGGACAGCACTCGTCGTTCTACCCCAGTTTCGTTGGTCTGCCGACTCGAAGCCACATTCGACAATCACCTCTACTTCCACCACTTAATCATAGGCCCTGGTCGATTTGGGTACT